GTTTTGCCGCTTGATCAACTATTTCGTTACCTCTTATGTTTTTATGTGAAGGTATCCATTGTATACTTAATATTTGATTTTGACATATTAGTGTATATATCAGTGTCTGTATTTCAAATATAGTGTGTTTATAATTTTTAGGTTTTGGGTTTGATATTAGCTGTAAAGCTGATTTTGAGTCTGAAAATATTACTGTTGTTCTTAATCTATTATTCTGGATATATTTGATTCCTTGTTTTATGGCAAAAAGTTCAGCCTCAATTATTTCTGTTTTGTCTGGTAATTTCCATATTGTTGTAATCTTTTTTTCTTCGATATATATGGCCGCTGACGTTGAATTTGTGCTTAATTTTGATCCATCAGTGAATATTTTTTTATGATTTAAATATCTTGTGTTTTCCAACTTTATAAATTGAGTCTTTATTATTTGTTCGGGGATGTTTTTTGTTGGCTCATCTAAGAAGTTGGTTTCTATGTTTTTTGTAATATCTAACCAAGGTGGAATGGGAGTTATGTTTGATATTGTTTTTGTTTTTATTGTTATATTTAATTCTTTGCAAGTTTCTATTACTCTTTGTATTATACCTCTCTTGCCTTTTTCAGGATTATATGTTTCAATATTTGCTGTTACATTTTCCTTAATTTGATTATTTTCTTGTTTTTCTAATATTTTCATCATTTGCATACATTCCAATTCTTTTTGTTTATATTTGATGGGTGTTTTGTTTGTGAGTGAGTATAAAGCTACGATTGGGGTGGTTTTTAAGCAGCCTGTGGCAATTCTAAGTGCATTATTTTGTATAATTTCTATTTTTTTCATTTCTGTATTTTTGGCTGTTCCGAAGATAGTGATACCATATTCTATTTTAGGTTTTATATAAATGTCATAAAATTTTATTATTGTTTCTCTGTTTGCTCCCCATTTTGTTGATGATAATTTTTTCATTATGTTTATTCTTTTAGAGCAATTTATCTTTAGATTGTTAATTTGATTTTTCCAAGTTAATCTTGGGGCATCAAATTCTAAACCTAGGATTGTGTGATTAGTTGTAAAAGTGAGTGGTTTGTTGTCTATTTGAATTATTGGTATTTGTCGTATTCTTTTTTTTGTAAAGCACATAAGTTTACTTTTTGTTAAATTTATTGACAGTTCCCATTTATTTGCCCATTCTATTATCTGTTTTACTCCTAGTTCTAATTTGTTTTTAGCCTCTTCTAGACTATTATTTATGGATATTATTGTTATATCATCTGCATATGTTACTTTTTTTAATTCGTTTGTAAGGGTTAAATCTGATAACATTATGTTAAACAATAATGGGCTTAAGGGAGAGCCTTGTGGTAGGCCTCGTTCTATGTTTTCTTCCGTAGATTTTTTGTAACCTATAACTAGTTGGTATGTTCTGTTTTTTAAAAATTCTATGATCCACTTGAGTGGGGCACCTGTAATACCTAATTTTGCTGCTTTTGCTACTATTGCATCATGGTTTGTTGAATCAAAAGCTTTTTCAAGATCTAAACAAGCTATTAAGGCATATTTTTTTTCTTCATAAGCTTTGTTGATTTGATAATCTATAAATTGTAAGGCATCTAACGTTGAGCTGTTAGGTCTAAAACCTTTTAGATCTTCATTTAATTTATTGTTGATCTCCAACCACCAGTTCAGTCTATTAGTTATTAGGCTTTCAAATATTTTTCCTAAGCATGATATTCTGCTTATATATCTATATGACGTCTTATCTGAAGGGTCTTTACCTGGTTTTGTTATTGGATTTACTAATGATTTTTTTAGTTCTTTAGGGTATTCTCCTTTTAACCAGTAAATATTGAGTATTGATAAGATTTTTACTAACATATTTTGGGGACAATACTTAAAGAATTCATATGGAATTTCATCAGGACCATAAGCTTTTCTGTTTTTTGATTTTTTATTACTGAAATTAATTCTTTTAGAGTTAGATTTTTGCTTATTCCTTCAGTTTTTGTTTTTTCTGTCAGGTTCTTAATTTCAGTTTTTGTTAGCAATCTTTTTGTTTTTTTGTTTGTTGATTTTTGGAATTCTCCTTTTAGGACTTCTAGCTTTTGTTCTGTGTCTTGTATAGGAAGGTTGTTAACAATTAGTGGATAAGTGTTTGTTCTGTTTTTACCATCTAGTTTTTTAATGAATTTCCAAATTTTTCTGGATGGAGTGTTAAAATCCAGAGACGAACAAAAGTTTTCCCAACTATTCTTTTTTTCTGTTTCAATTATGGTTCTCGCTTTAGTTTGAAGTTTTTTGAATTCATATCTATTTATGTCATTTGGGTTTTTCCTCCATCTGTTAAAGGCTTTATTTCTTTGTTTTATTATTTCTTTACACTTTTTATTCCACCAAGGTTTGCTTGGTTTGTTTTTGTTTGATTTATTGTCAAATATGAAATATTTTTTGCCTGTGTTTTTTATTAATTCTAGTATATCTTTTATTGAGTTCATGTCCTTGAGGTCTTTTTTCTCTATTTCT